CAGCCTCAGAAGCCTCTAGTTCTTTCCGCATTCTCTCTCTTATTCGTTTACGTTGCAGTTCTTCCGCTTCTTGAGTCCTCTGCTTTATTAATTCAGTAGCCTGACGTTTCGCAGCAAGTCGCTCGGTATAACGGCGAAACAGTGGATGCTTACTTGACAAAAAATTATACCGGGGAGTTGTTCTCACGAGCTCATCCAGATTTAAAATCTGCCGCACTTCCTCTTTCGAATGATTCTCTTCCTCCCTTAGTATTTTAGCGATCAAATCCGACATGGTTGCCAAAGACTGCAATCGCATTACTAAGTTCAAATTCCGATTTGCAACTTCTTCAAAATGTGCTTTACTTTCAATAAACTCATTGTTGACTTCGAACAACATATAATTTGTTGGAATATTCGAAATAGCGGCTGGCGAAGATGGAGCAACTAACAAAATCTCCGCATCTTCGCTAAGTGTTAGGCCAAGATTGTCTAGAGGCTCTTTGACATATTTTTTCTCGAGTTTTCTGACAATTACACCTGCACTATTAGGAGGTGCATTGTTATCTATTGAAACACCACCATTTTTTAGCTTTTGTAAAAAAAGAGACATCAAAAATATGGAAGAAAAGGTTAACCAATAAAAAAAAAGCTAGATTTTCAGTAGGAAGAAAAGGAGGAGAAAGGTGTATATTGAATTTGAATTATATTCATAAGTGTTTTATCTCAGCTAAAAATGGTAATCAGAACCTGTTTTAAAATACAGATCTAAAATATATTTATTTAAAACATGATCACTAATCATTAAATATTAAGGAGGATATTTACGCCTGCTCTAATATTTTACTTAGTAAGGATATATACATAGAGAAAGACAGAAAGAAAGAAAGAAAGGGAATTTAAAAGAATCAAATAAATAAATATTTTCCTTTCTATTATTATTGTTTATTATATAATCGCAATGTTCAAGTAGCATATCATAAATATTTTATTTTATAGTTGTACAATAAATTAATTTACTTGTGTACCATTATTTGGGGGATCCTAGTAAAAAATATCGATAGAAATAATAGAAAATTGAAACGTTTCTTGGAATTTTTCTTTTTAAGTAGAACTTGTGAAAAAGTTTATGCGTAGATTCACAATTAGTAATTGATTACACTCATCTTTCGCTATAAAACAGTTCTTTAGTGATTTCACAAAACAGCTACAGTTTAACATTTTTCTATAGTGGATCGATAATTTAGAGAAAAGTAGCTAAAAGCCTGTATTTTGGATTTCTTTAAGGACCTCGTATAAAGGTTATATGCTCTGACTTTACCAATACTCTTTTTAAACTACATAAAAAAAAATTAACGCAAAAATCTATAGAAAAGGCATTATTTATACACCCAAAGCCTTGCCTTGGTAAAAATAAAATGAATGTGATTTTAATGAGTGAAACACCAATAGAATACATGAAAAAGCAGCACATAGACGCTTCTTTGAACATAAACGGGTGGAAATGATCAATTTTAAAATATTCGGTAAAATAATGAACTTACCATGTAGATACTATCAGAAAAAAAACTACGTTAAAAAAATTACAATAAATTAGATTGTTTAAGAGAATACCTTTAATTGCAAAGATTATGTCAATGCGTGCACCTGGCCCAATAGCATTTTTCGATGGAACACCGGTGCAATGCCTTGCTCGGGTTTAAGGGCAAATTTCCGTACAAAAGCTTATATCCTGCCCATAAACAAAATTTGGTTCTCAGCAAGTCGATATATTTTACGCACACGGGGAAGTATATCTGCAACCCCCGGCCCGATGCTAAATAGACAAACGCCAGCCACACCACTTCTAGCACCACTTGAACCAGTATCATTGTCTCTCCCCCCTCCCCCTTCCCCCTGGCGGATATATTGTTACCGAAAAATGGTCCAGGAGAAAGACGCAGGCCCCACATCTAAATTTTACAGAATACACCAAGACGAATCCCAATTGCTTAGAAGTTTTTACAATTACATAGGATTTAAATATTGTTAAATATAAACCGCTCCCGTTTCGCTAATTCCACAAAAACCCAGCCACAATAAGCAAAAACACCGTAAAGACACAGAGTTTCCCCTAAATTTGAAAACCCCAGATAGTTTTCGAAGATGAATCAATGTAAAAGTCGATACCGTGCTTTTAAATGCGCAACCAAAGAATTTTGAACTCAATTTAGCTGAAAAAAACGACTTTTGGAAACCGAGCTTGATTTGCGATTATGAGGGAAGCATTGGCTCGCTTGGCAGTGAAAAGCAGACAAAATCACTACCCCCGGAGGGTAGCTCAATGAAAATAAAGAAGGCGCACACAATATTTTATTCGCATATATGAATTTCATGATTTTTATCTGATATTAATCTTTTGGTTGGACAACGGAACTTCGACAACCAAGTTTAAATAGCATGAAAAATTTTAAAGCGCTTTAGAAATACCCCCCCCCTCCCCCTCAAGATAATCCATCGGGACCAAATTTTTTTAACGATGACTAATAAAATTATCAAGATGATTTATTTGAATGATAACATAAATTAATATGGAGTTTTTTATTATTTTATATCAAAGTCAAAAAGAAACGCTTCTTAAGCAATGAATAAACTAAAAAATAAATAAGCTTTAATTTGTGAAATAAACCATTTCCCACTGCGGTATGAAGTGGATCGAAAACAATGTATCTGCATTTCTTTCTCAAATATATAATGGACACAATAGGGATAAATCGAAGTAATAACACTTGATTTTGTTTCATGACACTACTCGAAATTGAAATGCCTTTTATGAAGCAACCCCCTTTTTTAAGGACTGGTTGTCAAGCAAAAAAAATCCACGAAAAAAGTGTGCGACCGGTGAGGATCGAACTCACGACCTTGGGATTATGAGACCCACGCGCTGCCGACTGCGCTACGCTCGCTCGAAGTATAACATAAGTTTATTCACATGCTTGTTTGCATCAAATCCAAAACTCTACTTCACGTCTGACAAGTCCGTGTGGCTCAATGGAAGAGCGTCTGACTACGGATCAGACGGTTGCAGGTTCGAATCCTGTCACGGATGTCTTTTTTACCCCACTCCCACAAACACTTTTTTTCAATCTTCGAGTGTCATCTGCCCGCCGAACGCCATAAGAGATGGGCGCCGTGGACACGAAACACTCGTAACCCCAAATGTTAACCCCTGAAACTTTAACGACTAAAAAAATGCAAATTATGAACGCTTTCTATCAGCAGTGAACGCACATGCAAAAGGAAGATTTTTACCTAACGAATACATTCGGGTTCCAATATAACACCGTCATTATCACCTCCTTATCGATTTATTAACTTACTGGAAGGACAGTTTAACTTACAGCAGCAACCCTTTGGTCTGTAAAATGAAACGAAATTCCGGACTTCATCAGGTTACCCAATATAATTTTTTGGAATCACAAAAATATTTATATCAAACAGTGGAATACTGATATCTTCATTTAAGTTGGTGTATAGTCAAATTATAATGAAAAAGAAACTAGCCAAAGCAGTTATACTGTTACTCCGATTCCTACCGAAATGCGGAAGGAGACACAAAACATAGTTCCCAACAAACCCTATTAATCTCCATGTTCATCTGAGTACTGCGCGCTGATCTTGATTGACAAGGTGGTCAGCGTCCACCTCTCTGATACGGGAACTTAAATCCTCCCCGTCCCCTTCTATTGTGAGCCATATTCAAATGACAATGTCGAATGGAGCCTATAAATGGCATTGTCATAGACACTCTTAAACGCAACTTCGGATTTTTAAGAGTGAACCTGGAGAAACCATAATTAGATGCTCAAGGCGCTCTCAGAAATATTCTTGACCTTACCTCTAGTCGTATTTCCTGTCTAAATGACAGATTTTTCTTTTAGGGCTAATCTACCAGTAGACACCCAATCTGATCAAGTTCGAAACCGTTGCAAAGGGAACTAAAGAAACGACTATAATACTAAATATATGTCCCCGTAAAAGAGGTAGAAACAATTATACCAATATGAAAATGCAGGGGTGGGGGGTGAGAAAGGATAAAAAGATAAATATATCGTTGCTTTTCTGGAGCATACGAAGAGCTGGTTACACGTAAATTTGATATTCCGCGTTTTTTTTTCCTTTTATACAACTGAAATGAGGATTACCCTGCCTCCCCCCCCCCCCCCCCAAATATATAACCATTTTCCTCTTACATTCTTACACTATGTGGTGATGCAATCCTTAATCCTTTGTCTTCCCTAGTAAAATAGACAAAGCTTCCGAAATCGGAATGCGTTTTCCCCCGCGACACCTACTCCCACCTTTCTTTTCTCCAGAGGAGGGTGAATCCTTTCCACACTCCCCTTTCCGTGGAGTGAGCGAGCGCGATGTACTATTATTAATATTATGACGACTAGAAGAAGAGGAGGAATGCTCACTTTTACAGCGTCGGATAGACCTCAAAGCGACTTCATCCACGCCGCGATTTCCCGCCTGCTCGCGCGCGTGGTGCACCCTCCGCCGCTCCCGGCGAACCTCCGCGCGCATTGCGGCCACTGCTACCTTCCGCGTCTCCGCCTCGGAAGCCTTAACCGCCCTTTTCACCTCTTCCAGAGTCCTCAAGCCTTCCTTAATCTGCGTGAAAGGAAACGCCAACCTTACTTCCCCTTCTTCCACCTCTTTTTCCTGATGCAAATTCGTTCGTGGAGAAGCCCCAACCTCGTCAGAAGGGGTGAAATTTAAGCTCAATGACCCCACCCGGAGCTCGCCGTCGAGCTGCAGGAGGAGCAGCTCCAGTGCGCCTTTTTGCTCCACTACCGCGCGATAAACGGAAGGGTTCGCGCTGAGTGAAAGAAGGACCCCCTTCCCAGCCGCGTCCCCCTCGCCGACCTTTAACCCACAGCGAAGAATCGCCTCCAGCATGTTCAAGTTTCTGAGCGAGGAGTAGAGCCCATCCCCGGCCTCATCGGCGGTGTAGAGCCGGGTGAGGAAGTCGACCCAGGTCGAGGACGGGTTGGTGGTGGGGTCGCCCGCGAAGGCCGCGCGCGCGCGCTCCAGGCGAACCTCCCAGACCACCTCCCCGCGGACGAGTTTGCCCACCCCTTGCCGCCGTCGACGCGACGCGGCGTCGCGTTCGAGTAGGAATTGAACCGCCCGGAGAGCCTCCTCCGCGCACTCCCGGGCCCCGTGCCATCGGAGGAGGTTTCCCTCCAAGGGGGGGCCGTTACACGCGACGTGGGAAGGGGGGGGTCCTTTCCCCCTGACCTCCTCCCATTCGAATCCCGCCGAGCGGAGGAAGGGGATGGCCCCTGGGACGGCAAAGACCTCCCCGGACAGGATCGAGTTTGCCGGCCGCAGCTGACGGTACTTCGGATTCCCAGGGAAGGAGAGTAGATTGGTGAAGATGCGCTCGAGATGCTGAAGGGCCCGCTCCCGCCGTTCGAGTGTGCCATGAGGCGTGGAGGAGGAGGACGGTGAAGAGCAGGGAAAGGCGCCTTCCCTGCTATCATCCTCCTTGCTTGAGCCGTTAAGCAGGGGGAGAAAGTGGATATGAGGAAAGGCCTGGCAGGCGTCGGTCAGCTCCTCGTCTGGGAGGTCGTTGAGATCGGCGTCGCGGGGCTTCTTCTCGGGTTCGAGTGAGAGAGAGGAGAAACTCTCGCAAACGCCACTATTGGTGTTGACATTAACTTCGGCTATCAAAGGAGGAGGAAGCTGGGAAGAAGAAGAAGAAGAGGGCGCACCAGCAGCAGAGGAAGAAAAGCGGTTTAATGTCATTTGCTTAGCTGCGGTGAACTCCTCAGCAGAGAGGGCACCGAGGCGATGCAGCTCAAAAAGCTTCGCGATCTCTTCGCTTAAGGACATATAGAAGTGGTTTTGTGGAGTGTGCGAACTAAGAAAAGTATGACGTACGATTTAGATACGTTAGCTCTATTTTAGCTTGAATGATAAAATAAAAGAAAAAAACGGATAAACACATATCGCAAAAGTCAAATTCAGAGTTTCATTCATCTATAAAGATCGCAATATCAGCTTTCAAGAAAATGAGGGAAAAAATGCTCCTGATGTTCACATTACCGATTCATTATTAGAAAGATAGAAAAAAATAAAAAAACACAATGGGTGAACTCTGTCCCATCTTTATACCTCTTAGTCATTGTCTAACGCATATGCAGTAGACGATACTATTCAGTCCATGTTATCGGATCAGCATTTGTGTTGATAATGGTTATATGTTTATTCTTTCCTTTTCTCCACCAAAAATCGGTGTATTGGCCTCTCGAAGCCCTCTTATTTCCCCCACAACAGCAACATCATATTTTATTGATTCCTTACCCATCTTTACATACAGGTAGAGGACGAATAACGAAAAGTGGATCCACGGTGATCGCCTAACGTGTTGACAAATTTACCATTACCTTTCCCCTTTCCACTTACACACGCCTTCGTGCAAAAAACTCAGAAGCAAACTCGCCTACAAGCGAGTCAATTAATAAATCAACTTATCAAATAGCAAGAATGCATTTCCCATTCCAGTGCGGGCAAAAGCCTTATTCATGCATATTATCGACTTCTCCTTTTTTCTGGCACTGAGAGACCGCGACTTTAAGCGAACGGAGAAAAAAGCGATCGACCTCGTCGCCGCTCATTGTCTTCGCCTTGCCCCCTTCCTCGCCCGCTGGTGCAAATCCTTCTAAATGTTCTTTTCCCTTTTCTTTCTCATCTTTATTATTATTATTATCGAGTGTTGTTGTGGACGCACATTTTTTTAGCTCCCGCAGCTGCCCCATAACGTCCCAAAATACGGCGTCGAGCTCCGCGTAGGAAAGCCCTTCAAGAAGAGCTTCTGCTGCGAAACCAACTGCGTTGGAGGAAAAGGGAGACGAAGGAGAGAGAGGTTGCTGTCCCTCTTCCTCTTTCTCGTTATTTCTTTTCCTTTCACCCGCCTCTTTATCCGCGTTTCCAAATTTATCGTTATCCTCCTTCAAGGGGGATGAACAGACGGACAGGGCGCGTTCAGGGGCGTCGCCCCAACCCTCCAGAGCGGAGACCGGTAAAGCCGCATCGCCAAGGCCGACATCCTTTTCTTCTTCGTTTGTTTGTTTTGTATCGAAGGTATTATTCACCACCCGCCAGCGGCGCCGGCGCCGGCGTCCGAAAATGCGAACCTTTCGATGGGGTTTCCGGGGCTGATCGTCCCCGCCCTTATTCTGATTTCCAGGAGAGGAAGGATGCCGAGCCAAATGCCGCCCATCCTCCTCTTTGTCCTCCACTTCCATCTCTTCGTCGGAGTCCTGGAGGGAAGACTCGTCGTCGTCGGAGAGCGGCGGGGGCTCCACGACGTCGCGGTGTGCTTCACAAAACCGAACGAGGTTTCGGTTGATTCTGTACATCTCCAAAATGGTGGTCTGCTTCAACTCGAGAGCCTTCAGTCGGTATCGCTGGTCTAGCGGAGAGCGCGAGCGAAAGAAGCCGCGGACGTTGCGCACGAGCCGGTCGATATCGTCGTGGTACTGCGAAAGGCAGACGTAGACGCCGGCCTCGAGCTTGGTAAGGACCTCGCCGAGGCCGATCCGCCCGCGCTCCTGCGTGGCGCGGCGCCAGCGCGGGAGCAAGGCGTGTCCCTGCCCGAAGTCCAGGTCCGGCTCGAGGAAGAGCCGGAAGCGCCCGGACTGCAGCAGCCCCGCGACGCCGCGCAACAGGACGTGGCGGAGCTGCAGACGGCGGTACT